ATAAAAATTGTGCTATTGATTATTTTAAACCTTCTCTAGATATTCGCGTCACCTTGAACAAGCTGAAGTTCATGTTAAATGTCCTTGGGGTCGTGCCCGAAGCTATGCTGGTGAAGCTCCTGTGTGTCTTCCTGAAAGTTTTCGGCCAAAATGGGAGCCACCTTTCCTCCTACAAAAAGGACACAGACACTTTGGCAGTGGAGTTGATCCACATCCCAGGTGAGTTTCTGACTTACTGTAGTCTGCATGATCCTTGTAGTGCTAGCTGGATTAAGTGACAACAATGATAACCATATTCCTTTGCAGAACAAACTTGGTGTTGCATTACTTGCTTTAACCTTCAGAATCTAAGAAAAAAAGAAAACAACAAGGCATTGACAATAGTTTACACATGTACATATCTCAGTTTAACTAAAGACCATGCACACCAGGTAGTAAGTTACCTGTATTACAGCTTGCTAGCTGAGTGCCATGCAGTGATTGCAAAATTGGCTCCTTAAGTTGCTAATTTTGTCACCAAAATTGTTAACTATTCATCAGGGCAACCAAAAATATCAAAGTTTGGAGACCTGGTTAGAGTCATTGACCTTGGTCATGTCTTCGCTCTAGCAGTGTATAAGCTCCTTCTAAAGCATGTAACAATTGTCTTTAAAGAACATTATATAACTTTTCTCTTATGAAAGATTTCATAAGAGAGACTAGAGCCATCTCACACCCAGTGTTTCATCAGAGCCCAACTTTGTTTTTTTACATTGGACCCTGTGCTGGGTTCTCAGTTAATCCTTTAACTCCCAGAGGAGATAAACATGAAACCTCCCTATAATATCCCTACGCTATTCAGCAAACAAGTTATGAGAATACTCAAACTTACGGGGTAGATTTTTGTTATCCTCATCTAACACCAAATTCTTATAACTGGTTTACAAGGAAATCTGTCACAGCTAGAGGGAAGAATAGGCCATTTTACAGTTGTGTACTTAGTTGCCAAGCCTTTGATTTGGAGTGAGGCTGAAGGTGACCTTGTTGTGATGGAGACTAGTATCTGGTTAGCATGATAACAAAATAATTTGCATTTGAAAAGCTGCAAGGTTTGTATCAAAACAAGGTCACCCTTAACCTCATTCCTTTTCAAAGGCTTGGCAGCCAAGCACACAACTGCAATGATGACGATGAGATCTTGGGAGTTAAAGGGTTATGGAAGAAATGAAAAGGTGGTTGAGGAAAAGGCTTGTATCTGACAAAAAAGTTTTTCTCTTTTCTCTTCCACAACCTTGCCTCCTTTCATCATCCTTCTTTTTAAAGCATCTCCACTCATCACAACCCTGATGCAAGCAGTAGTTAAGATTACATAACATGGTGCTGGTATTAAATTGTACAAGTGAATGTTGCCAAATCTTTCCATGAATATCACATTAGTATTTCTCAAAAATTCTCAAAAAATATCTCATTGTGACAAAGATTTTTTTTCTGAAAATACCTCAGCAAACTTCCTAAATGTCTTTCTCTCTGGTTTAAAATTGAACCAAATTTGAGGGAGTTCCAAGAGCATATTTTGAGTATTTATTGCAAAGGACCAAAGACAAGTCTTAGGCTCATCAATCTTACACTTTGCACAAAGAAATAAGAAAAGAATGTGAGAGCACAGGAGACATGTTATAGTGTGCTGTTCAAGAAACCATAAGAAAAAAAATTAGAATAACCTGTGGAAAGACATTCTTTTTAGGGGGGGAAGTGGGAATGTGATGGTGTGTCAGTCAAACGGTCCAGGTAAGGGAAATGCTGAAAAAACAGGACGCCCAATGGCAGATTGCATTGAGAACCTGTAGGGAAATATTAAGACTATCTTTGGAATTTCCAGACGTCATTGGATATGATCGGGTTTTGTTGCTAGCACTCTTAGGATAAAATTCTAACGCTCGTGACTCAAAAGAATTGACAAGTATTGGACAACAGTTGAAGAGTTTTTCTTAATGAATTTTAAGTTTCAAATGCGTTTTAAACAGTTTCAGCTCAGGTTTCAACACTTGTCCTGTCTCCGGAATAAGTGAAATAAACGCTTACTTGATGTGCTTTAATTTCTCGAAGGCCGAGAGCTTTAAGCCTTTTTATTTCTGTTTTCCTAAGTTCTACATGTAATTCTTCGTGCATCAGTGCAGGTTTTTACTGGAAATTTGACTGTTCTGGACTTAAAGTTACATTCTAAGGGGAGTGCTTGAGAATCAGTTAAGAATGAACACTGTAGTTGTAGTAACTGCTGAAAAAAGGAAGTGCGACCTTTCCTTTGTGAGTGAAGGGTTCCATTTGTTGTTTCTTACCGTCACAAAACTGCTTCTCTGTGGTTGATAATTCTTCCAGTTGTCCTCTTATG